TTTTTTTTTTTTGCAGAACGAGGGATTGAACTCAGGCCCTTGCGCTTGCCAGGCAAGCACTTATTCTACTGAGCCATCTCCCTGGCCCCCTCTGTTATCTTATTCTGACAATATAATTCAAACAGTGTGACCAGAGTCAGGCAACTCTTTCTAATAACAATTTCAAAAAAATAAAAAATCCCAGAGTATTTTTTCTTTTTCACAACAGTGCTACACTGTTCTCACAATTGGTTGCTCAGGAAAAACTACTTAATATAGTACTCAAAAAATGACATCACTTGATGTCACGTTCTACAGAATACTGCCTAAATAATTGAAGATGCAACTTGAGGGTGAAAGGGAAAATACCTTCATCAACTGAAAGGTAATAGAAGAGAAAACATACTGAAAAGGCACAGAATAGAAGGAAATATCAAGGATAATCCTTGAAACTTTAAACCTGCTTAACACATATACCTACATCTGTATTTGGGCAAATTAATGTAACATTAAGTTAAATTCCTTATAAAACATTAAATAGCTCATGTATGTTACTGAATATAGTACACTGTAAATCACTGGTTGTTCACATTTTATATATATTTTTTCTGACAGTGCAGTGACTTATTAATGCTGTCTATGAACATGAAAAAGTATTGCATCATGCGCCAGCATTATAAACAAAAATAAATTTCAAAATTAAAAGATTTACACTAAATAACTTGTCAATTTTCCCTTCATTACTAGAGACTTAACAGCACCCCATGCACATTAGACAAATTACTTTAAAACTGAGATACAGCCTGAAACATTGAAAAGGATTTTCCTCAGCTATCCAGGCTGGGCTTGGTGATTTAATACTACTAAGTTTTCCACATGGCTGATATTAAAGGTATGCACCATCATACCTCAGGAATGATAATTTTATCCAAGCATTGCCATGTGGGTAAATCATGGTGATTTAAGAGCCCCAATCTTAAATTAGCAAGGAGGTACAGATCTACAAAAGTCAAAGAGGCAGAAATTAACAAAATTTCTCCCAAGGCCAGGCAACTCAGTAAGGTCTGCTTTCAATGATTTTTTCTTTTTTTTCTGGGATTGAACTCAAGACCCTGCACTTGACAGGCAGGCACTTATCTACTGAGCTATCTCCCCAGTCCTGCTTTCAAATATTTTTTTAAAAAAACAAATGCAAGGGGTTGCAGCCCAGGGTAAAATTTCTGAGTTCACTCCTTGTACAACGAAAAAGATCAAACAACTGGAAATCTCTTCTATCCAACAGAAACCCTTTCCCTCTACATCAGTGATTATGTGCACCCTACTTTTCAACATACAAGACCAGTTTTGAAATTTCTAATTTTGCCCCAAACATGATTACATGAGCGGATTAACGCTACACAAGAAATATTTATCTGTTAATGAGTTTTCTATTCCTTAGCTCTGTTATCTTAGACCCAATCTCAGAAGCCAGTAGATAATCTTTCAAATATTATCACTCTAAGAACAATCTGACTTCTGGAGAAGTTTACTGTTACAGTTGCTGATTTTCTTTTGCCGCCCTTCATATCCATTTGCTTTTGCCTGTTCAAAAAATCCTTTTATTCTATTCATTCCAATGCTCACTGACCTTAACTGTGAGAATTTCCCTCTACTTCACTACTATTATATAAACATCTCACTCAGTGTTTCAAACCTTAAAGTAATGTCTATAAACAGCCCACTGGTTAAAATTAAATGAGTTAACAAATGATGCCCATTTTCCTGCCCAGTGAATTTCTCAGTGTGAGTTTAATAGGCAGTCCCTTCAAGAAGTTATCCTTAACTTTCCCCTCCCTTGGTAATACATGAACATCACCTTCATCTTCTCAGCATTTCAAACTCTATAGAAATCCTCTCTAAAATAGTGCAGTGGTAAAGAATAATGTATTAGTGAACTTATAAATAAGACACCTAGCAAAAGAAGAGCCTGATATAGAGTTGGGAAACTAGCCATTTTGATAAGAATTAAAAAGAGAATAGAAGAGCTGGCCAAATAGCTCAGCGGATGTAAGCGCCTGCAAGCAGGTTGAGGGACGGGGGCCCTGATCCCCAGGCCTGCACTGCAGGCCCCACACCCGGTGCGCACTGAGAGAGCAATTGCGACTGAGCTCTTGGGAGGCTGGAAACAGGCAGCTCACTGCGAATCCGATCTAGTAGTGAAACCCTAAACAGCCTGTAGACCCTTCCTAATATTTATTGTATATTTGCTAATATACAAATAAATAAATAAAAATAAAAAGAGAATAGAAAATTACCTAGGACTTTGGATTTGGAGCAAGTGTATTTTCTGCACAACAGAGAATGTAGACTCCTCCCTACTAAGTAGAGCTGCAGCTACTCTCTACTAAGCTCCCGAGTTTCCAGGAACTCAAAATACAAAATACCCGGTGTTTTTCTAAAATCTCAGTTTCGTTTTTAGCAATGTATGTTGAGGAAATGAATTAGAGGGCCAGAGCATTTACTAAACACCGAGCATTTACTGTCCTCTGCTTATCTGTAATTAGCTCTGGATAGAAAAGCGACGGGGCCATTCACTCCGGACACGTCTGGAGATATTTTTCTTATAGCCAATAAAATCTCCCCTAAGATCTTTCGATTGCGACCTCATTCCTCAGTGTCGTGAGACCACGAGCTCTGTCTATACGGTAACATCATTGCAAGCAAAAGTCTCACGTAAAAAATCCAAACGATAATTTTCTTTTTGCAGAGTATGAAACTCAGGGTTTCCCAAAGCCCCTGCTCTCTGCATACCCGGGCAGAAACACCTATGCTTGGGGCCCAACAAGAAGGTATTGCGAGGTAGCAGTCACAGCACAGTGCCTGTGTACTGGGGACCCAGAACTGACCCTGCCTGAGCAAAGGGGAAAATGTTTCAGATGAGGATGCAGCACCTCAGGCTAGGACACTTCAGGTCTGGAGCTAAGCTGGGACGCTGCAGTTCGCCCCAGCTGTTTCTGACCACTTCCGCCGCGAACGCGCCCTATTCCACCCCGTCCCCACCTCCCGTCCCATAACGTCACCATTGCGTAGCTTGAGGGTCTCCCAGGATCCTTCCAATGCAGCTCTCAGCCAGCAGAAGTTATAGAGAAAGGTGGTCTGGTAGGCTGGGTCCCCTCAACCCCGCACTCTGCGCTCACCACTGCGCCATGACACAGGAAGAGCCCTCCACCCTCTGCCCCCCTGATTGGGTAATTCACCCTTCATTGCTGATTGGCTCCTGCTCGTGACAGCCTAGCTGAGAGTGACGAGAGAAACAAACCTCTTCCAGGACGTATGGATCGCAAATGATATCTCGTTTACTCATTGACTTTTTGTCTTTTTTTTCCTGTGGAACCAGGGATTGAACTCATATCCTTGCGTTTGCCAGTCAAGCGCTTATCCTACTGAGCCATCTCCCCGACCCCACTTTTTGTCTTTTAAAGACAGAGTTTAGCTAGGCAGCTCAAGGTGACCTTGAGCTCACTTTGTACCAGGCTGGCCTCGAGCTCATTCTCCATCCTAAAGCTCCTGAAAGCTGAATTGCAAGCGTGAGGCACCATACCCAGCTCAAATACTAAATTGTAATCCAGAAAATTCTAGACACATCTCTTTCCCACAATACCAGTCTCACCTCGCATGAGGAATGCTTGCATTTAAGGGCTTGTTCATGGCTTTTCAAAACTTCCATGAAGAAAAAAATTTAAAAAAAAAATTCCCATGAAGTTCTTAACGGAGTCAGGGGATCCTATTTGAATATGGGTCACCAGCACGCTCAGCTTTCAGGGTCTCTATCCTATTGAAGAGTAAGATTCCTGAAGTCTTAATAGAAATACTACAATATACAAAAGAAATATTGCATTCTACTCATTTACTGTGAAAAAGTATTTAAATTGCTGCGGAATCATTTGCTAGACACAACTTTATAACAATAAGTAAAACACTGATTCCCAGGAACCCTTTATTTTTTAACTTTTTGTTTTGTTTTGTTTTTATGAATGTTACTTTTCTGCCTGTGATGTAGAAGGAAATATTTAAGTGAATAAAAGTGATGTATAGGAAAATTGGATCCTGTTCAGTGCACCAAAACTAAAGCATTCAGTGGAGACTGATTGGAGCTGAAGATCATGAACCCTCAAGGGTTAACAGACATCCACACACTGTGGGTTGCTTCTCTGGTCCTGTCTAAGACCTCAAATGAGTAACCCAATTCACCATGTCCTCTAAAACTGATAAGTGGCAACAGAATATCTAATGAGACAGTGCTGAGACAGGGAACTCACTATAGTTGATGGTCACATGAGTGTTTCCTCTTCTGAATGGGAAGATTTTATGAATATGAAAATGAGAAATATTTGATTGGGTTGGGAATCTTATAAAACAGAACTCACTTGTGTTATTACACCCATGGTCACCTAGCACTCAACAGTGCATCATGCAGAAAAAGTGTTTCACTCAATTTTTGTGCTGTTCCCTTCACTGTCTCGTCTCAATAATGTAAAAAGTATATTTCCATTCTTTATTGATTACCCTATGTGTGACATTCTAAAAAAAGAATGAATAATAGATTGAAATACAGTTACTCTTGATTGGAATAGGAAACAATTTTTTTCCAATTCAATATGTCTGAGAAAGCAACTGTATTGAGATTGGGACTATGGCAGCAGGTAGAGCTTGGATGCATTCTGCTCCCAGCTATATGAACTCGGCAAGTTATTACACTTCTCTAGCTTCAGATTTCATCAGGGAAACCAGAACCAAGTCAGAAGCTTCCCTTCAGAAGTTTCCTAGGATAAATCAAGAGCTTAATGTGCAAATAGAGTCTTGGATGTTGGAAGCGTTTACTTTTGGTCAATGATTTTAGGGCATTAAACACTAGCATGGCCCTTTGACACTATTGCTAGAGGGATTATTCTCACCTTCAACACACATATTATAAACCAAGCCATAAACATGTATAAGGGCAACAGAAGTGAAACAGTGCCAGTAGAATCACATGGCTTATTATCATTTGGACAAAGAAGTCTATAAATGACAACAGAACTACACTAAAGTGTGGTTTAGATTTAAAAATGAACAATAACACCAAACAATTCGAAAATACCCCAAAGAGAAATTTTATTAACATCCTGTAGCAACACTAGAATTTTAACAATTTCAGACAAACACAGAGTGGGCAAAATAAGAGGATTTGGGATTGTTAAGACTCAATGGAGGACCGAGGAGATAGCTCAGTAGAATAAGCCCTTACCTGGCAAATACAAAGTCTTGAATTCAATCCCCAGTACCAAAAAAAAAAAAAGATCCAATGGAAAAAACTGATTAGTAGTATGGTGAGTTTCAAACATGATGACTTTGAGGACAGAATCATGAACTCAGGCACTCCAGCCTTGGGACGAATATTGGCTTAAAGGTCTCTGCTTGTTGATGTGTAGGTTGTTCAATTTTTATTTCCTTTGTCTTCTTTCTTTTCTTTTTTCCTTTTTTTGGAAGGTGTAGGTAGAAGGAATCACACTCAGGACTTCGCACTTGCCAGGCAGACACTGTGGTACTGAGCTTTATCCCTAGCCCTATCCAATCTTATTTAACATGCACTTTACCTCTTATCGAATGGTAGTGTATGGCTGCTACATCACTGCATTTTGGGAGGAGATAATTTGAACTTTTGTACTTCTGGTACAAAGAGAGAGGATTATGGCAGAAAAGAGAGTCACGTCTATTTCTCCCCTAGACTTGATTTAGATTGTTTATGTAAGAGCAGGTGGGTGGGGGCTGGTGAGATGGCTCAGTGGTCTAAAGCACCTACTTAGAACAAGTTTAGCAAAGCACAGGGACCGCGGTTCAATCCCCCAGCACCACATGCCAGCCAGCCCGCCCCCTGGTGGGCTGAGCTGGCCACACACACATAAATAAATAAATTTTTAAAAAATTAAAAAAAAAAAAAAAGAGTAGGTGGGTGTTGGAAAGCATGACATTCACATGGCTTTTTGAAAATAGTTAATGGAAATTTTCAGTTGGGTAATAATTCACAATCTAACAAGAAGAATATTTTTTTGAATTTTTTCTTTGTTTCTATTCTTGTTGGAAGGCAAAACACATGATGTGAAAGTGAAAGGGGGAAAATTCCTTAGCTCAGAGATCGGAGAGGTTTCAGTCTTTAGCTTTCTCCAAAGCAGGATGGCATGGCGGAGGACCATGACACATGGCACAGTCCATACAATGGCAGGGCAAGCAGATAGCAGTAAGCAGCATCCAGGCTACCAGCATTTTGGGTGGTGCCAACCCTACCCAGGATGTGCCTTCCTTCATCCAACTCTCTAATCCAAGCATCATAATTAAATCAAGAATCCTATCTTAATCCAGCCATCTTTGGAACTTCCCAGCTAAGAGACCGTGAGGCTTTGGAGGGACAACTAGATATAATCCATAACAAAAGTCCTTTCCCAGACGGCCTGGAGTTCTTCCTTCTCCCTATCAGAGCACTGAAATTTAGAAAGCCGGGATTACAAGCATGAGTGAGGTACCATGCCCAGCTCTAATAATAAACTGTAATCCAGAAAATTCTGGACACGTGTCTTTCCCACAATGTCAATCTCACCTCTCGTGAGGAATGTCTGCATTTAAGGGCTTTACTCATAGCTTTTCAAAACTTCCATAGGTTTCTTAATGGACTCAACTTGAGATCTGGTGGGGGAAGGGCTCTGAAGCAAAAATGTGAATTTTGTTACCCAAGGATCTGTCACACCACTCCTGGTTCTTCGTTGTTCTCCACCCATCTATCATCACTGTGTCACTGCTCCCTCCACTGTGTGTCTGCAGTGAGTTTTGTACCAGGGAAGTAGGTGTCACATCGATCTTCCTATCCTCTATGGTTCTAGGTGATTGGTCTCCCTGCAATATAACTCCTGCGGGTCCAATATAACATGATAATATGCAGTTTTTACAGGTTTTCAAAAAATCCTAGGTGTTGGGAATGAGTATTTGCCTTCTTAAGAGCTTGGAGCAGGAATCTTATATAACTTCAGAAGTCAACTTTAACCTGTTAGTAGCAAGAGTCAAGAGACTTATCCAACAACATTAAAAATACACTTCTATGTTCTTCCCTAAAAGTGAAGAGACGTAGAGAACGATACAACAGGATGCACGTAAGAAATTATCAGTGATGTCAAGGATCTCCCAGGAAGCAGAAATTAAAAGAGCAGAAATGAAGAGCTGGCTCCATTCCAGGAGACACCATGCTCTGGGAGGTGCGCCGACCCTGGCTGGATGGGCAAGTGCTCCTGAGACATCACAGCAGGGACAGGAATTTTCAGTCCCCGAACACAGGACAGGTCAGTGATGATGCTGGTCTCAGGTGAGAAGAGAGAAGGGTGAAAGGATGGAGGACTGCTTAGCTTCACAAGATGAGCAGGATCATGAGGTCCATGGTGACTTCAGAGAGGCAGAGGTTTCAGTGTGAAGACAGCACCAGGAGAGCAGCATATTCCTATTTCTCAGGAATTCCTCCTAGGAGAAGAACATTATTTAGTTTGCAGAATCCGTATCATATCATATGGAAAATCATACTCAGATGAATGAGCAATGATTACAGTAGTAAAGAAACACAATAAATAAATTGATAGCGGGGCTGGTGAGGTGGTTCAGTGGTCTAAAACACCTACTTAGAACAAGCTTAGCAAAGCACAGGGACCGCGGTTCAATCCCCCAGCACCACATGCCGCCAGCCCTGCCCCTAGGCGGGCTGAGCTGGCCACACACACACACACACACACATAAATAAAATAAATAAATTTTAAAAAAATAAACTGATAGCTCAGGCAAAAATCACTGAATTTTGTAAAACTATGGATATTATAATTTAAATAAATCTTTCTTAAGTGAAATAGATATGTGTGTGGACACCATTTGTGTGTGTGTGTGTGTGTGTGTGTGGCGACAGAGAGAGAGAGAGAGAGAGAGTGATGGAGAAAGAAACAGACAGAACACAACAGAAATAAATCTAATTCTTTTTTTTTTAATTTTTTTTAACATTTATTTATTGTGTGTGTGTGTGTGTGTGTGTGTGTGTGTGTGTGTGTGACCAGCTCAGCCCACCAGGGGGCGTGGCTGGCTGGCATGTGGTGCT